AAAGAAAAAGGTTAGTCTTTACTACTATGTCCCACCTTTGGCATTCATCTTGCTGCAAGGTTAAGTTTTTCTTTCTCTTTTTAGATGAACTAACATTCTTACTAAATATAAAGTGGGCTCTTCGTTCCACATTTGCAAACACAGTGTCTTGTAACTGCTATAGAAAGAAAAAAAATCAATACTTCCCTAGCAGGCTGTTCTGTGTGCATAAATATAAAATTCCAACAGCCCAAGTAGCAGGTGCCCTAAATACTTAAAAACAAGACCATGTGGCTGACAAATAGAGATGGAGAAAGTATACTAAATCTATGGTTTAAAAAGAAATCATTTAAATGAAGTTTATTTTGCTGTTGCCATACATACCTCCAAATTGCTTTGCTGGTTTGGTAGAAATTAAATTCTCTCTGGTTGGAAGCCTGTTCAGGTTTGCACAGATTCTATGTTCCCAAGGTGTGTTTTCAGCAAATAAGGCTATTCTCACGCATTCCCACACAATGGTTTAAATGTAGGTGTGGCTTCTCTCTGACCTTACTGTCAATAGAAAAATCAGGCTAGAAAATGTAGTGTATGGGCCTCATTTGGATTGAAAGAAAGCAATTATGAAAGACATGTTTTAAGACCATCAAAGAAATTTTAATATAGGCTGGGTTTTCAATTAATTTAAGGAGTTACTGTTTGTCTTTGTAAGGTGTGATAAAAGCTGTATTCTGTATTTATAAAATATCCTATCTGTTAAAGATGCTTACTGATGTGTGTACAAGTAGAATGATATGATGTCTCAGACTTGCTATAAAAAATAGAAAAATAGATAATTGGGTGTTAGGTGAAACAGGATTGGCAAAAATCTTGATAATTATTGAAGCTAGACGATGAGTAGATGGGGATTTGTTTTACTGTTTTCTGTAATTTTGTGCACATTTGAAATTTTTCATAGTAAAAAAACAGTTTTAAAAAGAAAATTGGATAGTAAAATGTCTATAAATGGAAGAGTTTTTTTTTTTTTTTTAAAGATTTACAAATACTCAAACAGTGGTAAATAAATCAAGTACATGCTAATGATGGTCTTCTCAAGAGAGGCCAAAGGATGCTGGGTTCTGTAAAGATTAAAGACTAAGATAGTACTGAGGCAGCTCTAAATCTCATTCCACCATCTCAGGCATGGGAGAACTATCAGGACTGGCAGGAAATTCAACTTTATTTTATATTCCCTCTCTCTTTTGTTCCCCTATCCCCACATACACCCAAAAGCTGTGCAGAGGTTTGGTGCCTTGCACAGTGTCAAGGAAGCAGAGAGGGAGGCCCTGCTGGTTACCAGTCAAATGCCAAGATGGCCTTTGTCCTGGTGTACATGGTCCCTTCGGTCCAGTGGCTCTACTGAGGCACAGCATTTGTTACTAGACTTTGAGCCCCTGGGGTAGGGTCATGGAACAGGTGAGTCCCGAGACCCGCTAATCTCAGGACTTGCCAACCTTTGCCCCAACAGAAATTGCCTTCTCCCTTTTCTCTTTTTTCCCCTCACTTCCCAGGACATCTTGATAAGCTTTTCAGTGTGTTTAGGCTTGTAAAAATGACAGTAAGAGTGATTGAGTTCAGGTGGCATCTGCTCTCTACCCTGACAAAAATAACAAGGAAAAGAACTGCAGATGCTGGCTGCTAGTTACCTGCTTGAATTGTTTGTGTCAAGAGGATGGGGGAAATATAGGGAGAACCGTGAGTTGGTATTTCAGTGAGTTTGTCAGTCTTGAAAATATGCATTCTTTTGGAGGAAAATATGCAGTTAGATTAATAAAGAAGTTTCTTTTGAGGTACTCTTGTTCTGATGAGGAAAACTAAGCAGTCTTTTAGGAAAGATAAAGGATTACCTGGGCAAAAAGTAAAGGTGGGAACACAGAAGGAATTATGAGCCAAGTTCCTCCCTCACACAGAATGGGTATGGATGAGTAATTTAGAGACGATAAGGAAGAATGAAGTTACCTTCGATGAAGCATCAGAGAGGAAAGGACTGCGTGTGTGACTTCCATGATGTAAAGTAAAAGAACTTGCAGATGGGCAGGCGCCTGTGGGTTGTGTCCGGGACTGTATTCCTGGCAATATGCTCAAAGCACTTTGTCTAAGCGCTTTAACTCACGATGAAACTAAACCCAAAGTAACATCAGCCTGGCTCCCAGCTGTGGTAGAGGGGCACTCCCTGACGATGCAAGGTACCTGGGCAGCACCCAATCTCAAGAACAAGGAACCTCACCGGCGCCCAGGGTGCTGTGTCTGTACCAGCGAATGGAGGGGGTGGGCTTGTTGCCAGTGTAGATCATGGGATCTTGGTCCCACAGGGATCTCAGGATGCAGGTCAAGGACAAGGACAGCTAGTTCCTACTTGAGGCAGATGTCTGAGACAGCCCTGGGACAACGTCACAGACTGTGGCTGGGAAGTTAACATAAAGCTCTCTAGGTATCTTCAGCATAGAAGGTAGTTCAGACCAGTGGGCCCCTCTTCCAGGTGGGTGGAAATCCAGAGGGAATTCAAGCTCATAAAAGTCTTGGCACAGAGCCTCCTTGTTGCCATGCTGATCTTCAGGGAACTGGCACTTACATTCTCACTGGTGTATCAGAGCTCCGCGGTTTGCATTTGACAAAGTCAAAAACCAAAACACCCAAATTAAAGGAAGGGATGCACATGCTGCTACCTCTCCAGTAATACCCTCTACCCACGTGTGAAGCCAACTTCTTATCTCCCAGATGTAGGCAAAATTGCACCTCCGAGCAGCTTTCTTCAGTTCCCTAGGTAGAATGAGTTGAACTATCTTCATTGTTTCATGATTCGAGATTTGTATCTCAGCAATTGCTCAGATGTTCATCGTGATCTGCTTATTTGCAAGTACCTCTCCTAATACGGCATTCAAAATACACTAGGCGTTCCTATTTCTTGAGTCACTGAATGACTAAATAGGTTAATGACTGAATGAGTTAATGAAATGGAAATACAGAAAACACACACATAATATAAAATACATTTTTATGATCTTGACATTCTCCAAACTTTCCAAACTCTCTATTAAACTAATAATTAGTCCCTTATCAAAACACGTACAGGAAAGAAGTATCCACAACTGCTTTTTCTCTATGTATTTATAATAATATAAATACTAAAAATCCAGATCATGGCTTTGACTGCTGCAGTGCCTTATGGAGGAAAGTTGACATGGAGAGAGACAGAGGATTCCTTGGCCTCTCTGAGTCGTGCACTATAGAGAAGTTTTTTTAAATGCTTTTCCCTCATGTCCCTAGCACATGCAACATTGCAACGCGGCCCCTCAAATTTCCTGACATACTTAACTACGTGCGGTAACATTCCTTCCATGGCATTGAAATAGGGAGAATTTTATCATGATAGAAATGCTCATAATCTGAGGATATAATAGAGGATGAATACCATGGGATAGAATTAATCAGTGCCTCTTGATAGTGGATATTTTAGCCTAAAGGGGAAAAAATACACGAGTTTGGCTGTGAAATGTTTAAGCAGCTTCACTGATTATCCAGAAGTCATTGTGTGCCCACCTTACTCAAGCACTAACTGCTGCCAGTGTTACTTTCCATGCCACAATTTGGAAAGCTTGTTCTTGACTCTATCCCATGCCTGCTAATGTCCTATAGCACGGAGAATAAGGCAATTATCCAGGGATGGGGGCCACATTCAGAAGACAACTGATGTATCCCAAGGCACTTTCAGTCACGAAAAGTAGTGAATTCACAAACACCCACATGGGTTTTCCCACCTCTGACCTCATTCATCATTTTGCTCCCTCCCCAAATTATTTCCCTCATATTCTCTTTCTTAAAAAACCCTCTAAAGTAAATATAAGTTTGAGCTATACATTTGCACTGTGGATCTACATAGTGTCACTTGCACATACGTGTCTGAGCTCCAGGGCCACCTTAGTGGCTTCTAGTACAAAAAGCAAAACAGAAAACTGTCATTAAGGTAAAGGCATTTAACTCAGAAATTGGCAATTAACTGTGAACAATATGATTTTGTTTGTATTCAACTCTCTCTGCAAAAGATCAAAAGTAGAAAATAATAAAGAGAAATTACCCTCTTTCATGAAGCCAGCTATATTCTGCTCAGCCTACCAACTTGTAGGTTCTAAGTGGATGCTCTTAGCATTGTGCGCAATCAGCCATGATGCCGAAGGTTAGCTCTTTAGTGTATTTTTCATAGCATCAATATTCTTATTATAGAAATAGAAACTCCTCTGTGAGATTTAACATAGGAGATTAGAGCAATGGACTTAACACCCACCTGCTACATGAAATCACTTGTGTCCATCCCATCTCCCACTTTCCTGTCCTCTGAATTATCAATATCATACCTTTTAGCACTTGGTAATATACCATTTTGAGTTCACTATTGTTACATTTTAGTCTTTTCAGAAAATAGGTATAGTCTTTTATTAGGCCACTATTTAGATTTTTATTTAGGCTGTATATTTATTGTGTAAAAACATATACAATAAAAATTATATAATGCAGACAAGACCTATCTTTTTTCATAAAAAAAAAATCGCTTGTAAACTTACCACTTAGATATAATCACTGTGGTTAACATTAGGGGGTATAACTCTCTAGGCTAACATATATATATATATATATATTTTTTTTTTAATGAAAGATGTTCCTGTGCATACTGTATTACTGTATTGTACCTTGTTTTTTCATTTAAATATATTGAAAAATTTCACCTATGTTATCCTTCTTCCGCCTCCTTTTAAATGACTGCATAAAAATCATAATGTGTGAATGTGCAATAATATGCATAATGAATTCCTGATGATTTACATAATTTTTAATTGTATCTTATGGGTTATTTTCTCACATTTTCTTGCTTAAGGAAGCAACTGTCATTGAATGTCTTGGTGGCAATAGTTTTAAACAAATTTTATAATATTTTCTGAAATTTTATTAAGATCAAATATATTGAAACTCAAATATTTTTCTCAATTTAGGAGAGCACAAGCTTCATTTCATCCCTGCCCTGATTGGCCCCTTCCTAGAAGTGACCTTGATACCCCAGCCGGATCTTCGGAATGTCATGATTCCTATTTTTCATGATATGATGGACTGGGAGCAGAGGCGGAGTGGCAACTTTAAACAGGTAGGCGGAAGTGCTCCTCAGCACAGTTGGAAGAATTTCAGTTCTACAGCATCTCTGAACTTCTGGATTCAACTCTGAGCTGGGAAATGAACACCGGGCCAATAGATCTGGATTCTAGCCTGGCCTGTCCACTCCCAAGACGCACAGCCTTGGATACTTTCTCTCTGGTCCTATGTTCTCCTGAGCCTCCAGGGAAGCCCTAAAAAGCCATTTAATTCCCTTTCAGCTAAAAAGTTCTGTGATTTCCCAGGTCTCTGTTTAAGAACTTGCAGAGACTTTATTTACTCCCAGTTGGACACAGCACAGAGGAATCAGAGGGTTAATGATTCTTAAACTCGTTAAGCTCTCAGTGGCCTGCATGTTGTATTTGGTGAAGGGCTTAGCTTTGAGCATTTGATTGGCAGTATGTTTTATTGCTCTTTGCTTGAAGCATTGAGAATTAATTTAAAGGAGAAAGCAATGGAAATTCTTGCAAAGGAAATTCCAAGGGAATGAGCTATCATTTCTCGTTGACATAGGTTCTAATAGTTCTGCTCCAGTTTGGAGAAGGCACACATTCTTATTACAAAAGCAGATCTCATAAGGAATCAGCTGCTTTTCCATGCCAAGTCCTTCAAGTTGGAGAGAGTACCCTTCACACAGTCACTGCATGAACCTGTATGCCCACAGGGTGGGCCATCCTTCATGCTTCCCAAATGAAGCCTGCCTCAAATCTTAGAAATGGTTGTTGACCATACAAGCAATCTGATTACATACATAGAACGGTCCTATTACCAAATGCATAGGCCTTTCACTTGCACTGGTGTATACATTTATTTTTGAAAAAGCTGATAGGTGAATGAAAGGTTTTTAAAAAAATTGTCTTTAGAGGAGATAACTCACTTTCCTTCCCCCTTTACCTCTTGATTGAAATTTGGTTTAAAGGAACAATTGGGCTTAGTCCTTGGACAAAGTCAGATATCCCTCTCAATTCCTAGTTGTTTTAACTTTCTCTGGCCATGGAAAGGTTATTCGTTTTCTGTGTCTTCTGCCTCAGATATATGAAGGGATATTTTTCCCATCCTGATACTCAAGTTCCAAAGGATTTACATACTGGAAAATATAAATGTTTTGACTACAGTTTTCAGGAAATATGTCCTTTCTCTCTCCTGCTGCTTATTGCTGACTTAGACTATTTCTATGGATCTACCATCTGTACATGGATAGGACCAGTTCTCAACTTCAGCAAAGATTTAGTAGTGTAACCTCAAACTGTTTGGAGAAAGAAAATAGATATAAAACACATCAAAGATTTAAATTAATGTATGTGGATATGTTGGTTTCCTGATGTCCTTATATATATAGTGATGTTTAAAAAAAATAAAAAGAAATAGGACTTGCCAGTTTTTATAGCTCCTAAAAAAGAATTCAAACATTTAAACTGGGCTGCAAGCATTTGTGTTTGAATCAACAAATAGATGTCTTTGGCAGCAGTAAACGCTACCCAGCCGGGAGTGTGAAGTCATGTAACTCCTTCTAGACTAGTCCCCTCGAATTCCAAAGGGATATCTGCTATTAACCACAGCTGATAATGACACTTTCACAAAATTTACTGTGGCCTTTTCCCAGGCACAAATAAATGTTTTAATTTGCCTAGAAGTTCTACTTGGGAAGGGAAGGAAAGAGAGAGTAATATTCAGGTATGTTTCAGGTGGAAGCCAAGCTAATTGACAAACTGGACAGCCTGATGTCAGAAGGCAAAGGTGACGAAACATACCGTGAGCTCTTCAACAGTATGTGAGTAATATGTTTATCTCAAGTTGATTCTATTCAGGGGATTTGGTGTCAGTACTGAGCCGTTCTGTACCGCGGGAGCTGAGAGCTGCAAAGACGCTTGGGTCTCACAGGAGTGCTTTGTCTTTGTGGAGTGTGAAATAAAGGATAATTGCCTTAACTCTGGCGAATGGATCCTATTATGTTGATGATTAGACATGTCTCCTTATTTTAATCTCTGATTAGGACAGTCGCATGTGTTATATAACAGATCTCACTCTTTTCATGCCTAATAATTTTAAAACCATTGCTGCAAGATAATGATTTTAAATAGTAGGGCTATGAGCGGGAGAGGATGAAAGGGGTGTGTGATTGTAATGTTTGTGAGCACTACTTCCCAAAGCAAGATATCCTTGGCTGATTTGCTGTTGGGCAAATTAACCTAATTTGCATCTGTTCTTCAACATCTGATTTAATTCATCAATACTGATGGTTCATTCAGCATTATTGCTTCCTAAATGCTTCTTATTAGAATATCACAGAAACAAATCACTTTTAGCAAATTCTGTGTTTTGGATTTGCATAGAAGATTAAAAAAATAATGCAGTGCTGTAAAGGGACTTTGAGGTTGTCCCTACCAGGAGAATCTGATCACAGTTACAGGATGAATTGCTTATACCAAGTGTTCATGCACTGTGTTTAAATGGCCAGAGAGGACACATGAGAACGTTTCAGGGCTTTAGGATTTCACTTCTGACACTTGTTTTCTCTATGGCTTTCTATGGATCTTAGTCATTTTCAAATCTAGTATACGTACAAAGTGTTTCTTTTGAAGGAAGAATTAGCTCATTATGCTTAGGAAATGTATACAGTTCTTTCAAAGGGGCAAAATAATTCAGCAATACATTTTTCTATGAAAAAATATATTTTCATTTGTATCGATGCCTAAGTCTCACTTAAAACGAAATATCAGTGCTTTAGGATTGATGGCCAAGTGCAAAATTCTATAATTCATTTTATGATCATTAATTTAAAACAGTAGAAATATTAATATATAGCTTTGAAGAATATTAGTAGTGACTAGTAGCTTAGGTAGATTTCAGCTTGCCAGATTCAAAATCATATTGAAGATCTCAAGAAAATTATATTGAAAGGAAAAGCAAAGAAGGGATGTACAGATTTCAGGTAATGATGGTGGGTGATAAAATACATTCTTTGTGCTCAACCCTGAACAACATCATTTTGTCCTGATACTGTAATTAAACTGGAACTTTTAATAATTATTCACCAAGCCTTTGTTCATTCTAGTGTACAAAGCATCTGTCTTTCATGACAGCTGGAGTTGAGCAAGAATTCTGATTAAAACCTCATCCAGTGTAATAAATTGCTTTTGAAAACTGCTCTCATTTCGGTTACTAGTCCTTGGTTTGAACAAAGAACTAAAATGAGAAAGCACTCAGTGAAATGAACCTCTTGAGATTTGTGATTAATTATTTATAACAAATTCACAAGATTAATAAATACTCACATAGTTCTATAGTGCCTCTTATCTACTTTAATAAAGGCCTGATAGCATGCAATTTGGATTGCTTGTGTATAAATATGACTTTGAAATGGAAGATGTACCTTGACATTAGAACCAAACCAATAATTAAAATATTAAGCCTCTATAATTAGGACTATTTTAAGGTGCCTGATTCATTCAATGGAGATTTTTATTCTTTTGTTGATTTTTAGCATATTACTAGAAATGCTGCTATAAATATTTTTCTTTCATGCTTTTATGATCAGCATATTGGGAATGAATCAAAGCTAGAGTGATAATTAAATATCATTACTACCTGGGTTCGGGAAAGAAAGTGAAAATCTAACTTTATTTCAGGAAACAATAAAATGCTTTTTTGGCAATAGAAATCACAATGAATTAGGATAATCACAATGAGTCATTGCACACATTATGTATTAGGAACACATGCCATTATGGTACAGATTCTCATTTGTTCTCTGTAATTCATGTCTAAAACTTCCTAAAATTTGTTCTGAAGCTGAAAAACTGAAAGTAGCTCACTGCTTCCTAAATTGTAGTAGTTGCCAAAATAGCCCCCTCAGAGTCATTCTTCATGTTTGTATAGTACCTTCCTTCCTAAGAACTCAACTCATCTTTCCCTAACCCCCAACATTATCTTCATTGGCCCATACTACATCTTTTTGAAATGAGTGAGACTTATTATTTTTGATAACACTAGATTGCAGATCATAGACACCAACATGGAACATACAGAGTAAAATATCAGAACTAGATTCTGCTTCCCCTGGCTCCGTTTGATTCACTCATTCACCTTTATTTGTCGTATTAAGCACTCCCCTGTGCCAGGTACTCCTGCAGCACACAGTAGGACTGCCTCTGACAGGGCTTTCCAGAAGAAGTAACATCCATCTCAGTTCTTTCTCAGTCCTTTACTCTGCTTTCTCCTATATAGCTCTAAATAATTCAATAAGACTCCAAATTATTTCAAAGATCTTTATTTAATGATCACAGATTTATTGCCATTTGGAGACAGAATTAGCTCTGTAACATCATACCTTAGGTATCTAACTCTTCTCTTTAGATTAAGAATATGCACAGACACCGGTGTTATATATCAGAGTGGTGGCCTCAGCGCAATCCTGTTGTGACACAGAGAGAGGTGGATTGAGGGAAAGATCTCCCCACCCTGACACACACACCCATCTCTTTCACAGAGGAAATCCTGGTGGGCAATGTCATCCTGCAGGACCACGGTTTATCCTGCTCCCCAGTGTCCCCATTGCATATAACAGGGCAGCAATAAGAAACCACCATTCGTTGTTATTAGATGGACTCGCTGTGTACTCAATGTGGGCACATGGGCACTATTATTGAGCAAATGAGACTATCCAATCTCGCCCAGGTTACCTAGAAAGACTCTTCCCTTCTTGCTGATAGCCTCTCTTTCCCAGTTCGTATCAGGTGAACTGGGAAACAGCAAGCTCCCTGACAGAAGGAACAGGGCTAGCTGAGAATGGAGATGAATTGGGTTCTAGACTCAGTCCTAACATTTGGTCTTGAGTTAGTCAAGAAAACAGGCTGTGCAGAGCTTTGCCTCTTCTTGTAAGAGGATTATGTAGTTCTGACTCCTTGCTGCATCAGAAGGCTGTGCAAATTAATGAAACTCATCTCCATAAGAGAAATCTCCATGTATTTTTAGAATTATTACTTAACTTGAGTTCTTTGTTTTTCAGCCTCTAAAGTATATGAGGTGTGGGCTGTCACTTGGGGAAATTTTGACATCATCCTGTATTGCTTTGGCAGGCAGATTTTCATTTGAGTTCAATGCCAATATGCCATTTAAGCTTGAAACAGTTGCTGTTGAGAGGTTTTTAAAAGAAAACTAGGGGGCCTTCCCCTGGAGGATTAGTCAGGGCAAATTCCATCCCTTCCATGTGCAATCTCCACCCTTAACCAAGGAAACAATTTAGAATAAACCAGAAGAACAAATGGCCAGGAAGCATAGGCAACAGATGAGGAGACAAGACAGAGGCTGGGAGCCGGAATGGCAATGGCAAGAAAAAGAGGCGGGGGTTGGAGGAGAGAGGAAAATTGGGAGAGAACATAGCCACAGATAAAAGAAAGCTTTGGCAAAATAGCCTTTTTCTTTAATGTTTATTTTTCAACTAAGTCCGTATATGATATGCTTAGATTGCACTTGTAAGAAACGTTTTCTTTCTAATCTCACTCCTGAAGCCAAGATGAAAGGGAAACAAGATTTTAGACAGAAATGATGATCATTAAAATCGGAGGAGTAGGGAAGTATCCACATATTGCCATGCTTATGTTCTTTTATCTTTTGGGGACAGTTCAGTCACAAAGCCTTTGCCAAGCACATTGTTAATTTGCCAAGAGGCGGGAGTGAAAGTAAAGCAGATCCTAATTATTATGATGGTTGTGATTTTGTGTTTACATGGAGCCTGTGCTCCAAGGTGCTGCGCATTAGGGGAGATGTAAGAGGAGAAATGTGGTTCGGTACTTGTCATCAATCTGCTGGAACAACCACATAGAAAATCCTCTGTGATTAATGACAAAATGAATGAAACTGTTGAGTGAGTGCACAGATAGTACAATATGTATTGAGTGGGCAAATGTTAAGTGAAAGGAAAAAACGCAAAACGTCATACCGTCTGTACAAGGATTTTCCTGTAGCAGTTGCATTGCAGTAAAATTGCTTGGATGAAGATGCATTCCACTGAGAGGTAGGAAAACATTTTTATGTGAATAAAGCAAGCTCTTACTTAGAAGTAAACTTGGAGGTACTCCTGTTTTCGCTTTTTGCAGTGTTATTTGATGTGGTAAGACACAAGCCTCTGTTAGTGTAAGAGAGCAGCTAGGAAAAAAATGTCTTTGAGCTGTGAGATGCTTGTATATTTTCAAAATATGATTATATGCATGCGTTCGTATTTTATGACTTGGATAATCTGAAAATCAATTTGCTTTGTCAATGCTTCCTGGATTAGAATTCCACTATTTGGTCCCTATCCTAGGTAAGACATTGTTTGCAAATTGTGCTACTTGTGAGATGTTGCAGTGGTTGCTAAGGCATTTAAGGTACTGATGAAAGTAAAATGGTTGTCATGGTGACTGATAAAAATAAATGTTGAAAATGCCCTGGGTTCTTTCTTTTCCAGTCTACTAAAGAAAATTGAGCGGGAAACATGGAGGGAGAGTGGCGTTTCACTAATTGCTACTGTAACTCGTCTAATGGAGAGGTTGTTAGATTACAGGTAAGCCGAGGCACCCGGTTTTCAGATGTGCTGCGCTCCAGTTAGAAAGTCAAATAGGTGGAATACAATCAACGTTCCACTTGAGTGAATCACTCAGAATTGATAATCAGACCATGGAACCTGGTGCAGTAAGATAATGGACTTCTAACCAGCTGATTCGGAGTTTTTAATTTGGGCGTTTTATTTTCTTTTCGGTTTGGCTTGGTTTTTTGGTAGTTATTTCAAAGTCTTGGTGAATTGAGAGGATTATCAGAGTCCTCAAAAAAAAGTATTTATTTATTTTTTTGGTATTTAGACTCACCCACTAGAACCAGTAGACTCTATCCATTTTAGGGTAAAGACAATGTAACAGAATTGTACAACCATGCTATTCTCTTTAAAAAGAGCCAGGTGGGGGGATGAAATTTACACCATCACCTTTCATAGACCTATTTTTTTTATTTTTATACACTATTAAAGCAGTCCGTCCCACTTAGATGCATGGTGGTTTTGTTTTATTTTAGGAACAAAGCCTCGTTGTCAGTGATGTCGAGGCTTACCAGCTACTTCTCACCCCACTTTAGGAGGTGTACAATAACACACCTTCACTCCTCTTTCCTCCTGAGCCCCTTGTCCATCGAGAGGGAGCACAATCTTGACATGGAAGTGAAATTCTGGACAGAAACTGGTGCTCGGGAGTCTCTGACTCCCCAACCTCAGCAGAGATCTTCAGTCTCTGGAGCCTTTATCTGAACAGACACTTGCAAATTGTCTCTGGTCTTTGACTATTTTTTTTTTCTTTTTGCCTAAAAGAACAAATTGTGTTTGCCTCTAAGAAGGAAGTTCTGAGTTCTGACTATTGCGTTTTGTTTTTAGGGACTGCATGAAAATGGGAGAGGTAGATGGCAAAAAGATTGGCTGCACAGTTAGCCTTCTGGTTAGTAAACTATTACCCTTTTTCTCCTTCTATCCTAACTTTTTTCACAGAAATATTGTGTTTTGTTTGTTTTTAATCTGCAATGTGGTGTTTTCTAGAAGGGTTTAGAAGTGTTTTTAAAAGAACAGAGTGAGCTTCAGGTTGAATTAAAGCCCAGAAAATCCTCAGCCCCGAACATTGCAAAATGCACCCTCTGCATTCCTGACGGCTCTAATAGTAGACCCCGGGGATCCCAGGGCACCGGCCTTGGGTTCTCCAGTTGCGCTGCTTTGCCCTCCTACGGTCTTTTGTTGCTCTCCGAGGAAAAAGCACTATGTCCCCAGTTAGAGATCTTTTTATTTCTGTAAAGCAGTTTCTTTTTGTTCTTTTCCTTCCTCACAGAGTTATATGCATTCTACATTTTAATAAATATTACTGATCTCGTCTTTTGTGAACATAAAATGAGTTTTATGTTTAACACGCTACTTTTCACTTTCTAGCCTCTTTGCAAGTTGAATTCATAATAGCACTGTTGTTAAGGTGTGTATTATAACTAGGGTGACCATATAACGTATCACTCAAGCAGGACATTTTTGAGAGTAAAATTAAACATTATGTAAAGATAACAGGCTACCAAAGGTGTCCTGGGCAAACCAAAATTTATATAAAATGTCACCTAACTAACTATTAAATAGAGAATGGCAGTCTCACCACCGAGCAAAGGGATAACCATACATTTAGACATTTATTTCCATATTTTAATGTAGGGCAAATTAATACTTTCAATAATTTCTTTGAATCAGATGTGAAGTGCAGGAAGAGATGAAATATAGGAAGATGTTTCCTTTAATCGGATTTGAAATACAGGAAGAGTCTAGTTCCAATTTTGTGAATATCATGGTTTCCTTTTCTTATATTTTGTAGAGTAGACGAATCCTCCCCAGGTACTCTAAATACTCGCACTGTCATCCTTCTCCTTACTCTGATCATTTGACTCCCTCACATGCCATGGTCTTCTCTGTTTGCCCGCACCTTGAATTTTCTTTTCCACGACATTGATCATTGATTCTGTCTTTTCTTAGCTCATTGGTTTCAGTCTTTCTGTTTTGTTTTGTTTACTCCTCTCACAGTGCCTTTTGAAAACTCAGGACTTATGCTTTCTGCTTTCTCGTGACTATCTTTTTATCTGTTTTCCTGATTTCTTGCTGCACTACTCCTCATCTCCGAGTCTATGACTGTATCCATCTTGACCACACCTGCCACTTCCTCCTCGTTTTTTATTTCATTGTTACATCTCCACCTCTAATATCAGTCCCTAAGAAGAGTGAGACCTGAGCATCCTCCATCAGGCCACATTTTGTTCATGTATTATGCACTTTCTTCCATCATTTTTGTCATTAGACCCAACAGTAACCTCCAGGCCATGCACCAAACTCACTGGGCCAGCCCATTTTCCCCTCCTCTTAAGCATCATTTCTAACCTTGAATCTAGTCATTCCCTCTTTTAAATCTGCTAGCTGTGTTTCCCCTGTTTCTTGCTGCTTTTGCCAGCCTTCATCACAGTCTGGACCGTCAGCCTCAGTTTCCCCCATGTCCCTGCTTGTGTGTCAGTGTCAGGAGAAATAAGCGAAGTGCACTGTAAACTTTAGGTCCTCTCAGTTTGTCTCCTTCACCCTAGCTCTACCTCAGCTCCAGGTACAAGGTCTCATCAATAACTTCAAAGCAAAGCCTTTACCTTTTCCCAAAAGAATCCTCATCCATTGTTCCATCGTCTTTCACAATTCCCTTCCACTTGGAGGTGGACAAATAAGTGCAAACCCTAGGTTCACTTCCTCATCTGGTATAGAAGAAGAGATCACTTCCTTGAATCAAAGAATTAATACTCTGCCCTAAATGTGTTTGCTCTAGTCTTCAAGTAGGAATAAGCCTGAGACTTAACATAATCAGTGGTGCCCTAACTAATCACTTGAGACAAAGAATTTATCATGGTAGCTTTGCACTGACCAAGAATAGTCCTTCTAGAAAAGTTAACATGTTGAAAACTGTACTCATTACAAACTAGCACAAGAGTACTTATTAAAGCCCCAAATATATCACTTTGAAGCTAATCTTTTTAGCTTCTACTCCATATGGAAAGTTCTTGATGTTTTCTGGTAGCAATATGGTTCTCTTCAACTACTCATTTCCTCTTGGAGATTTTTCTTTCTGGAAAGGTTAATTCCAGATTGTCTTCTGGAGAGCTCTGGCATCCCTTACAAGATCAGAGTCAAACTCTAGAGTTCAGTTGATAAAAATACTTAATGTTTGACATGACTAATACTAAGAAATGTAATTATTGTTTTGTTCTTTGTGTCACAAGTTTTGCCAGACATACGTGAAATACTCTTTGCTGACTGGAGAGACTTTTTTTTAAAGAAGTATTCATTTATAGAGGGATTATGTATTTTGTTCTCAAAGAAAGCTCGTTCTTATCAGAAAGCTATTAGAGCCAATCATCCTTTAATAATGTAAAACCTGCTGTGGAGTTGTTAGACTTGTATTTATGGTACAACAACTCTTGCTAATTAAAATGATTGTGGTTATAATAAGAGAGACGTGAATAGCATTATTTACTTAGCTTTTTAAAGAATGCCAAGATCTACAGGAGACAAGAGGAAAGGGGGGAGGATAATGTTATAAAGTAAAAAAAAAAAAAATTGTTTATGATGCATTCAACTTAATATCACTGTCTCAAGGTTGCAAGAGTCCTCATATTGATGAATGGACACCTGTTAGGTAGCAGACAGAGAGTACATTTGATAGATGATCCTTGGGCTTCATGCCCAAGTATAATTTAAGCACCATTTAACCACATTGGCTAGTTTGGTCCATCACCAAAGCCCTGTCTAGCTAATCACCATCAAAAATTTTGAGAATGTTTGGCCTTTCCATCTTAGCAAAACCTGTCACTCCTTCAAGTCAACAGATTTATCCTCCCATCACGAATTTTCCCTTCTTCCATACACCAAATAGCATCTGTGAAAAGAGCAACAATAAGTAATAATAGTAGTTCAAGTGTCCTAAACAAGGATTTCATAATGTACAATGATCTGTTCACTAAAAGTGTCAAATTTGGAGACTCAGCATTATGTTTTTATTGGAATCTAATTTAATGTACATTTGCTCCTATATTTACTAAGTTCAGAGAGGACTAATATACTTTGTAATGTGGTGAAGGGGTATATTTGGATGCTTAAAAGTATGCCTTTAAAATGCCAACATAATGTCTTCAGGTAAGTAAACACTGAGTTTTTGTTAACTAACATTAAAACATTTTACAAAAGTTTAGTAAGATCTAGATACTTTTTTTTAATAAACAAATATTTTCAATAAGCATGTTCCTTAGTAATAATTTGAAATAAAATCTCTTATTAGTCCCTTTATGTTTTGGACATAAACTAAAAACATTTAAACTCCAACACAAGAAATACAGAATAACATCTTAATAAAGAATGTTTTCATTTACCCTCTTTCACATAATTCTTCAGGGAAAAAATGCTTTTACATTGTTTCTACTCATCCTTACCTATATGTCTTAGAGATTTTTCTTTAGAGCAAAATATCTTTAAAATGTAAAATTAAAGAGACTATCCTTTGAATATCAATCAGCAAACATGTTAATCTGTTACATATTTTTAACACTTTTTAGTTGAACAGGCTGATTGTCCATTGACAGTTAAACTAACAAAAAGTAATAGAAAGTAACAAAAGAAATGTTAATCAGGGGTAATACCCCAAGATTATCCCATAATTCCTATGTCATGTTTAACATAAGCACTGTCGAATTGAAAATATGTCATGGGGCCTCCTTCCTTCATTTGTAAAGAGACATTTACATGGAAAAATGCATCAGTTCTCTTGATTCAAGACACAGAACTTTAGCAGAGTAAAAGGCAGATATTTGTAGGCCTTACTACTGAGGAACTATCCATACCTATACTCTTTTTTACAGAATTTCTATAAGACTGAACTGAACAAAGAAGAGATGTATATACGCTACATCCACAAACTCTATGATCTACATCTCAAAGCACAGAACTTTACAGGTAATTCTGTCTTTTGGCTCAGATTGGGGGAAGTGGGCTGAACGCTGGTATATTAAACATGATAAATCCTGTAGTTTTTATAATTAGAGCTGAAGACTCAAGCATTTCTACTTTAAAATTGAAATTTATTTTTAGTTGGATGTATGTTTCTAAGTATTCCATATGTCATGTCATGTATATTTATATTTATCATATTTACATGTATAATATATATCATATACATGATATACATGCATATAGGTTTTTTGACTATATCTCTTGGCATAATTTTTTAGATGTTGCTCTTGAGGTTGCAAAACACATGCCTAACTTTTTACTGTCTACGTGTAGTTAGGGTTTTACCAATTCAAGTTAAATATGGGAACTTTACAACTATATAGATCCCATTATCCTTTCCACTCTGTGTTGTAGTTATCATATGTATTACATCTGCATACATGGAAAGCCGCATCAGATAATGTCATAATTATTGCTTTCAGTAGTCATACCTCTTTTAAAGAATGTAAGAGAATAAAAATAGTCTATTATTTTTATTCGAGTATTTACCATTTCTGTTATTCTTTCTTCATTTATGAAATTCTCAGTTTCCCTCTATTATCAGTTTTATTCAACCTGAAGAACTTGTTTTAGTATTTCTTTTAAAGCAGGTCTAGTAGTGAAGAATTCTCTTAGTTTTCCTTCATCTGAGAATATCTTTATTTTACCTTCATCTCTAAAGAATATGTTTGCTGGATACAGAATTGTAGATGGACAGTTTTTTTTGTTTCAGTTCTTTAAAAATATTACTCCACTGTCTTCTGGCCTCCATGGTTTCTGATGAGAAATATGCAGTCATTTAAATTACTCACCTATATGAAATGCATAACTTTCCTCTGGCTGTTTTCAGAATTTTACCTTTGGTTTTCAGTGGTTTGATTATTATATGTATGGGCATAGTCTTCTTTAAGTTTAACCTGTTTGGGTTTGCTGAGCTTCTTGGATTCATAAATGTATTTCCTTCATCAAATTTGGGGATTTTTCAGGCATTATTTTCTTAAATATATTTTCTGTACCAATCCTTCTCTTCTTTTGGGGAACTGCAATGGCATGACTTTTAGGCCCTTTTGTATTATCCCATAGGTTTCTGGGGCTCTATTTTTTTTTTTCAACTTTTCTTCTTTCTGTTGTTTGGATTGATAATTTCTATCAATTCATATACAAGTCCACTAATTCTCTTCTGTCATTTTTCATTCAGCTTTTGAGCCTTTTCAGTGAAATTTGTATTTTTTGTTATTATTCATTTCTAAAATTTCCATTTAGGTATTTTCACTTTATAGCTTCAATTTCTTTACAAAGAACTTCTATCTTTTCATTCATTCAAGAGCATTTACTTCAAGGACTATAGTTATAATAACCGCTCATGTCTTTCATAGTCTTTGTCTATGATTCTAACATCTGTGTCATCTTGGCGTTGGTATCTGTTAATCGCCTTTGTCTTTTGAGAGTTGTTTAGTTTTCCTGGTTCTTTGAATATCAAATAATTTTGATTATATCCTGGACCTTTTGAATATCATATTATGAGATGCTAGATTCTGTTAAAATTTTCCATAGAGTGTTAACTTTTTTCGTTTTAACAGGCAGTCAACCCAGTTAGGTTCCAACTTCAAGTCCTGAGCCACCTTCTGAAAGTTGTGATTCTAACGCCAGTTTAGTTTTCAAAGCCCTTGCACTACTGTTCTGGTCTTTCCTGCATGTGTGCCACCCAGGGGGAGGTCTGGCACCTTGGTAGTGATCTACATACACCATAGTTCATTTCTCAAAGTCTTGGTTACATTTATCATGGTCCATTCTAACACATGTGCACCTTGGACATGAGCCTAAGACCTCATACACAGAATTAAAATATCCCTTTCTTGATGCCCTCCTTTCTGTGATCCTCCCCATTTTTGCCATCTCCCAGGGACTCCCTTTGCTGGTACTCTGACTATAAAGCCAAAGCTTGATCCTCTCCATGGACTCACTACAATTGTTTTCCCTGCGGACAAAGCAACAAAAGAAAAGAGCCTGTGGGAGCCACTGCTGACACTGCCATTGCCCCCTCTGGCACCACTACAGTTTGCAGCTTTGTTCCTGGGACTCACTTAGAATGAGGCCAGAGGTGTCTAAAGAGCTACATCCCACAGGGGGTCCTCTTCCCCAAACTCTAGCTAAAGGAGCTTTTCTTGGAGCTTTTTTGTCTGTTCCCATTTATAGCTCCAGGAGATAGGGAAATCTAAGCCAGGAGATATGGGAGGCAAAAAATAAAAACAGAGAACTCAACACTTACGGTCATTCTTTGAGAACTGGTTTTCCTCCTCAGTCCACCTGCTCTTATTTACTTTTCAGAATCCTCCAATAGTCACATTATATATTCTGCCCAGGGTATTCAGTTGTAATCAATGGGAAAGATAGGAAAAGAATGTGCTTATGCCATCTTAACTAGAAGCAGAACCCTCTAATTAGATTTAGGAATTACAAATCTTGGTCTTTTGCCACACTATTCTTCCAAGGAACTCCTGAATCACGGCCCCTCCTGGAGCTTTAAAAGCATAAAAGAACCCTTTCTGAAATGGTGCCGTGTTCCCAGAATTTAAACATGCCTCTCTAGTCATGGTCCCACTGTCTCAATAGCATCATTGTTTGCTCAGTCTGGAGACCTCAATATTATCTTTGACTCTTCTTTTCTTAACCTCCCTCAAGTAGTCATTCATGAAGTTCTGTTGATTCTATTTCCCAAAATCCCTCAGAATCATTTCCTTTTCATTGTTTCCGCTTTCACTGCCTCAGTCAGGCTTTCATCGTCTCTCACCTGGACTGCCTCCTATCACCGGAGTTACTCTCTAGAACAGGAGTCAGCATCTGGCCCTTCAAGAGAAAGTTGGCCAAGCCTTTCTCTAGCTGTGACTCTGTTGTCAGTTTATGTGTTCTACAAAACAAACTTCAAAGTCTTTATTCAAGGTCTGTCACAATTGAATCAACACCTGTCTGTTCAGCTTCATCTTACCACTTGTATCACATACCTTTTCGTCTTTCAGGATCAACTCCTCCTTCACCTTTTCCATGAAGTCTTCTCCCTCCTGAAGTTCTCTTTCTTTCACCAATTCCATGGCCCACCACCCTTCTCCCATAGGCTGAGTAGATTTTTTCAACTTTTTTTCCCATTGCATTTTTTTCCAGATTTCCATTAAAGCACTTATTGCATTGTTTTTATTAATATGTGCATATTATATAAGATTATATATTTTATATATATACATGCATGCATGTATGTATATGTGTAGGTAGGCAGGTAGATAGATAAATATCTTCAGTTAAAGGGTGCATTCCTTAAGGATAGAGATGATGTTTTCTTATCTTTAGTCCTCTCAGTTTTTAGAATTAGTGCCTAGCAATGTGAGATTTAAATAAATGCATCACTAATGAATGCATCCATTAGTGAAATTTTAACACCTGGTGAGCAGATTTTCTCTTTCAATACTGATTATTCTTGAATCACTAAGAAAACAACCTAGCAGACTTTTTTTTAATTTTAAAGTCCACAAAAAAAGAAATGGGAGGGAGCTGTGGACAAGCTATTCCAAATACAGTTCTCTGAAACAAAGTTCAAATGTGTCTGATTATATTTCAGAAATGGGTAAAACTCTTTACTTGGTTTACTCAACTCGCAGTTTTTATATTCCCCAAAGTCATAAGAAATAAGTTCTTTTCCCATGTAACATTTTACTCTTCTCTCTTGTGTCCTCATTTTTGTGTGTCCTTGGAGAAGGTAAAATTGATGGAAAAAACTTTTCTGTCTTTCTAGGATTCTGTTTAAATGACTTACCGTTTTCCAGCCTTTTGTGAGCGTCCTCCATTCCTAATTCTTCTCCACTCTTCTCCTGTGTTACTTCTTTTCGCATATCAGTGTCATTACGTCTCAAAATGATGGAATGATATGGCTCTTGTTTAATTATGTGGTAACGCCTTTTGTTCAAAATTATAAACACTTTTTAAAAGATTGTTGGAAATTTTGGATGCGATTCATTCTTCCCTCTTCAATATGTATTGTCTTTGAAAGATGCAGAAGAATAAACATACAATGTATCGCATAAAAACATTTACAATTTGTGAATTTGTTCAAAATCAACTTCATTGGTATACTATGTTGTTCATGCTTCAAAGGTGTTTGTTTTATTAATAGAAATGTTCTACCAGTTCCTCTGTACACACTGTTTATCTCAGATATGTATTGTCATTTTCCCAAATCAAATTCTGAAACAGGTGAAATTTGTCTCCACACCTTTTCTGTGCCATCATTCAGTCATTTGTCAGCTTCATCCGCTAACCTGCCAGTGCCTCCTCGTTTTCCCAGAGTCCCCTGGGGCAACTCACCCACACCTGACCCATCCCTGGACCTTCCAAGGGCAAGCTTGACTGGAAAAGTAGTTGGGGGCTGCAAACCTTCATTGCTCTTACTTTTCTTTTTTTTTTTTAATTACAGTAAAATATAACATGAAATTTACCATCCCAATCGTTTTTAAGTGTACAGTTCAGCAGCATTAAGTACATTAACATTGTTGTACAACCATCACCACCATCCATCCTCAGAACTCCTTTCATCTTTCCAAACTAAAATTCTGTATCCATTAAGCACTAACTCCCCATTCACCCTGCCCCTGGCTGCCACCAGCCTACTTTCTGTCTCTGTGACTTTGACCTTCATTACCCTTTAAGTCACGCCCTGTGGGCAGCTGTGGGAAGGGCATCCCTCAGTCCTCCTAATCCTGCAAATGGTCCGTTAGTCTCTAGGGTATTTTCTGAGTTTCTCATATGCTAAGGGAGACTCAAAAGAAATTTGAGAGACAAAGAAGATAAGTCCTGAGCTAGGTCATTAGGAGAAAGTAGGAGTTACTTGGCAGCTAAGGGGGACAGGCTCGAAGGAACTGGCTGTGAGGGCCCTTAGGTGGGAATTGGTGTGATACATGAGGGGAACCTGGGCTCACTGAGATAACAGGAGCAGAGTGTGGCTGAGGGAACAAAGATACACATAGGATTTTCTTAATGCTTAGCACTTGTTATAAAGATATGTGGGGAATTAAACATCAGGAAATCATCCCAAGGGATCTCAGAGAAAATTAGATGGCTATTCAAAATACAGCAGAGATCTGAGGATCTGGTTATTGTAATTATTGTATAGTCAGAGCAGACTGTGTCACAGTGACTCAGCTCTGTTTCTGCATCCACCAGTTAACTGGCACCCTTTAGTGCGGGCTCTCTCTATCCAGCTCACAATCAATCCCCACGAGAAAGAGGTCAGCAAGTGCCCGTGCAGCAGAGGGCATTCCTCTCCCTGTTGGCAGCTTTCTTTTGCCCAGCTGCCTCTGGGCCAGGATGCACCTTGCTCATTCCTGGAAGGTGGCTGATGGAGTCCAGGGGCTCTAACTATGGGGGCTGGAGGCTCAGCAGCTACGGAGGCTTCTTAAAAGAAACAGGGGTGGGCTCCTCCTTACCTGTGCTGTGTGGAGGGACAATGGGGAATTGTGGGCAGAGAGGTTGGTAAGGACCAGATCGTGACCAGCCTTCTCTGTCACTCTAGGAGGACTAAATTTATCGTTTTAGCTACTGAGAGTTA